TATTGTGTGCGCGATACTGTTTCAGTTTGTGCACGGCTTTTTAATCCAATGTTCACCTTCCAACAGTGTAGTACTCATCTCGGTTTCATGATACGGTTTTCCTTGGCTCGTATAACCATTCATTTTCTCCAATTGATTATTATCAAATTCACACAATGTTGATTCTTACTTATAAATATAAGGAAGCAAATATGCTAAAATAGTATAACATTCACTGTTTCAATAACATTCACTATTTCAGGCTGTTTGTGTGCGCAATAGTACTTCATTATGTGCATGGCATTTTAATCCAATAATTTCCTTCCAACACCGCCTTCTTCATCTAGTATTTAGGATTATGCGTTTCCATTGCTCTTTTACGCATACAGTTTTCACCAATACGTTATTATGAAATTGACGCAACATTTATTCTTAATCATAAATATAATGATGCACATAGGATTGATTACATAATCACACACTGTCCTTCAACTCTAATAATCAAGTTGTGATGATAACCTGGTAGTGATGTCGATGTGGACTCCATGTTCGCGTCCGTGAGTTCTCGTTTGATGGTCGGACGGAATGTGTTCGATGTAATCCGCTTGCCGTTAGAGTAGATTGACGAGTTGAGAGATGTTGCGTGTCTGTTGCTGTGATTTACTCCTACTCTAATTAATCATCTATAATTTAGGTTGAAGATCAAAATTGTATTATTACCGTAATTAGGATACCCTGTATTGTCTTATTTGCCCTTTTAATCTCTAATAATTATTCTGGCTTATTTTTTCCCCCTTAAATCTAATCCATTAATCTTATCTAATCTAATGGCCCGTATTTGTCCATAGGTTTGTATTTTAAAGGGGTTTGCATGTGAATGCAACCCTATATATATATATATATATATATATATATATATATATATATGTATATATATATATATATATATATGTATATATATATATATATATATATATATATATATATATATATATATATATATATATATATATATTTATATATATATATATATGGGAAGGGTTCAGGTGCGGGTATAGCTTCCCGTGCGGTTGTGCGGTTAGATCTGAGCTGTTGATCAAATTTAGATCAACGACTCAAATCATCAATTAAAAAAAACGGGTGTCGGGAAGAAGATAGCGCCTACACAAATGATAGCGTTTACACAAATGTTAGCATCTACACATAGCGTCTACACAAATGATAGCGTCTGCACAACCTCACGCACATTAAGTACAAACCCCACACACATTAAGCACAACCTCACGCACATTAAGCACAAACCCCACGCACTTTAAATATTAACTCACATATTTTAAGTTTCAACAACTATTGACATTAAGCACAACCTCACGCACATTAAGTACAAACCCCACACACATTAAGCACAACCTCACGCACATTAAACACAAACCCCACGCACTTTAATATATTGACTCACAAATTTTAAGTTTCAACAACTATTGACATTAAGCACAACCTCACACACATTAGTACAAACCCCACACACATTAAGCACAACCTCACGCACATTATGCACAAACCCCATGCACATTAATCACAGATCCGCTCACCTTTCGTGCAAGGGTGGGGTGATACGTATTTGTAACCTCCACCTACTTCGCCGATTCCTATCTAACAACTTATTTTAATATTGAATCAATGAATGTCGGTTCTTCACGCCCCTAGGTAGGGTAAGGGCCTTATGCTGCTCTACGATTTTTAACAGGGTTTCCAAACGGAGTGGGGATATGAACTTAGAGTAAGGGCAATAACAATTTAGGGTTTCCGAGGGTTTGGGTTAAGCGTAACAAAGGGTGAGCAAGGTCATGACGGTTGCGAATTTGCTCTTAAGGTAATTAAGGATTCGGGGTGGGAGTTTTCAACAAATAGGGGTATCAAGATGCTGGGGTTTCAGGGCGGATTATATTTTAAATTGGGGTGGTGGGGTCGCAAGGTGTCGCGATATACTTACCTTGCACCCAAGGATTCGACTAATGGTGTCGTTCCTTCGCTACTTTAGTAGGTGTCCTAGTTCTCCTTCCTGTTTGTTGTAGCCGCAACCCGGGTTTGCCGAGATAAGGCAACTTGTCGGAAGGTGCATGTCATTTGTCTGACTCGGGGGTGGAAGTAAACTTATCTATTCGCACCCTTACCTGGTGTGGTAAGCGTAGGGGGAGGTTCCTTTAAGTTAGAGAGGGATGAAGTGAGGGGAGGTTATGTGTAGGTTTCACAATCTCACTGCGCGTCCTAAGATTCCTGGATCCTATGTTCCTAAGTACCTAGAGTTCAAGCCTAGTGTCCTAAAGTCCGGTCTTAAGAGTCTTATCCTAGGGTCAAACTTAAGCTCTGATACCAACTGTAACACCCCAGATTTTCAAGACATTTAAAACTTATAAAATAAAGGTATTATCTCATTAAATCCCAAAACGTAATACAAGTGTACGGGGTGCTATGCCACACCTGAGCTAGAGAACCCAGGTGCACAGGCTAACTAACTAATGTCCTCAATAATGTAATTGCATAATATGGCACGCAGGCCGAAAAAGGGAACTATCTACTTCTACGTTCCGAGTTCTAGCGCGCTCCAGTGACTTATTCTTCTGTGCCTGAAAGCCAAATATATCTGTTCAGCGAGAGATGCTGGTAACCCACTCCAACGCGTTGAAATACAATACATATAGAGATATTTATATAGATATACGAAAACCATTATGAGCATGAAGATATATCCTACGAACTCTAGCTTTTAAAACCGGGAATGACTCAACAGTTAAGGCTAGACGCCAGCAGTAGACATAGCAAGCATAAGCATTTCACAATAGATAAAGCAGTACAACAAGGCATAAACGGTAATCATAATCCCATCATAAACAATCCCCAATATGAAACCCATAATCACATCCCAAGGCATCATAGTCACAACTCGTCCATATCACACACATAACGCACATTGTTGGCGCCACGGGACCGATCGCATGCCCATACATGAGGGTCAGCGCATATAGCTCTGACACAGCCCCGTAGCACCATGCCCCGTATCGCAACACGGGGAGGTCGATCGCAACCGACCGATGAACCGCAGCTCATCATAATGTTTGATCGCAACCAAACAGTGGACCGCAGCCCAAGAGAGTGTCATCTGACCGCAGCCAGGATAAAGGACGAACCGCAGCTCGTATAGAAACGTTTGATCGCAACCAAACGGTGGACCGCAGCCCAAGAGAATGTCATCTGACCGCAGCCAGCTTCTGAACCGCAGCTCAGGATAACCAATCCGATCGCAACCGAATTGGGGTGGCACACACACATAACACATAGCAAGCACATGCAACCCACATTACACATTAGGAAGGGGGAGAATACGTATAACAAAACCTATGCGTGATCCATCACATACTAAGAATAGTCCTAAGGGGTTCATACTTTCTTCACCTAGGTCAACGGGATACCAATTCATCTAGCATGCGATATAACAGACTCATAAACCTACGAACGGTACCCGAAACATCAAACTAGACATAGGCACGACAAACGGGGTCCGTTGGGACACCACGGGGATCGGGGAAACATCAAACGGGGAAGCCGAGGTCCCGGGTGGGGTGAGATTCCAGCGGGTAGCCGGTGGGTGGGGGTCCACCCGCCGGCTGCCCGCCGGCTGTCACTGTTCTGGGCAGCGGGTGCCCGGCGGGCAGCTGCCCGCCCGCCGGCTGCCCGCTGCCGGAGCTACCCGAGATTGCCGCGGGTAGGTGGCGGGTCCCCTACCCCCACCTACCCCCCCACTGACTCTTTTCACCACTTTTCGTCCCGGGAACCGTTGTGGAACCCGAAACCATGCTTAGACACTTTTCAACGTAATTAACGACAACACATAGACAATTAACGGATCAAATACGATAGACGAACGGCACATAACCTAACATGCTTTTCTAATCATAATCAACACCCAAACATGCGATTTCCCACCCGATAATCCAAGAATAAGATCATACAATACAACCTAGGGTTCTAATCACTTTTATATCAACAAGAATACGGTTCGTCTTCTAATTGCAAGATTCGGTAGGAACAACACATAATCATCAAGGATACCAATTAATCATCAAGAACATCATAATCATCAAGAACAACACATAATCATCAAGAAACCCAATTAATCATCAAGAACATCATAATCATCAAGAAACTCCCAATATCAAGATTATCAAGATTCCCCATGGAATCATTAAATCAACATCAATAATAATCATAGTAATTCACCATTCACAATCATACGGGGGGAAAAACCCTAAGGGGAAATCATAGCTATGAAAATAGGTTTTGTTGAGACATGGGTTACCTCTTAGCCTTAATTAATTCCTTGGCTATGAAGGGTCTTTCTTTAAGCTTTCTTGCTTTCTTGATTTCTTCTAAGGGGATTCTTGGAGCACTTTGGGGTGGTGGAACGTTTATTGTGGTGGGGGGTTCTAGGTGCCTCTTAAGTCCCCTATTTATATATTTAGGAGTCCTGGTTAGGAACTAATATTATAGGCTTGCTAATTCTATTCCTTTTGGAACTAAGGATTGGGTTTAGGGATAAGGGTCCATGGTCTATAGTGGACCATATTAATTAATTAAAGGGAATCCTAATCGTAGTCTGAATAGTAAAAGGTCTACTTCCTTTATTACTAATAGATAACTAGGTCTAGGATTCCTAACTAGAATCTGAATAGTAAAGGGTTTACTTTCTTTATTCCTAATAGGCTTAGGACTCTAATTTAGGCAAGGGTCCACGGTTCATGGTGGACCTTTATTAATTAATTAAAGGAAACCTAACCGAATTAAATCATATTTAATTATTATTAATGGGATTAATTTAATAACTAATCCGGGATTGAAGGCCGTAACACGGGGTGTTACAACACTTCTTAGGTTCTAGTGGATATGCAAGGAGATGACAAGAGTGGATGAAAGAAGATCCTCAATCCTCACATCTTCGTGTGCGTCAGTTAGCTCGTCTTTGTTGTCCGATGATCACAGCTTTAATTGGATACGAGCAAGAACAAAAAAAAGCAGATGATGGAAGTTACTTTATTCCAAATGAAAAAACACAAGAAGTGTTTCATAAAATTGTAAGTATTATATTTGTTTAAATGTCATAATAGTACATAATATTTATAAAAATACTAGTACTTGACTTATTTTATTTGTTGGAACAGATAGAAAAATGTGAAGAACTTGATCAAGGAAGATTTGAACCAAAAAGACACCATGACATATTGTCAGTAGTTCTTGGAAAGGATGATAATTCAGGTTCTGTAAGAGCAATTGGTACATACTCTACCATCCAAGAAGTGTTTGGTAGACCAGATCGGAAACAAAGCACGTCGAGTGGGGTTTACTCAGAAGCTGTTGTCCAACAAATGTTAGAGAAATGTAGGCAAAATACAATAATGGAGGTGGAAGCAAATATGAATCCCAAGATTGAAACAATGGACTAGCAACTCAAGTTTTTGATGAAGAACATATCGGGGACACATCTATTTTCAGGAGAGGTCTCGGCTGGAACTCCTCTAAGTGATCCACCGCCTACTCGTCGCAGTTGTCATTCGGTTGACACATATCCAGTTACAACAATTCAGGTAATATCAAAAGTTATTTCATATATCAAAATATATTTCTTGTTAGATTAAGATTAACCCACAATTTTGAATAATAGAGTCCAAAAAGGTGTTTACTAGCAGTATGCCCCAATGGCACACCAATTGTTGTTGCAAAGGTTTGGCTCACCCAAGTACTGACGAGACTATGGTGAATCACCAACCATTGTTGCCTAACTGTGTCAAAGTTTCGGTGGATGAAGTGATTAAGGGTAGAGAACAATTTAATCTCCCCTTACCAGATCAACAATATGTCACTATAGCAGATATAGTAGGCAGTTTTGCACAATGGCCTATGCATTTAGTGAGTTTAGAAGAGGTATACATTCTTTTATTTAGTTATTAAGTTAGTTTTCGTTATTTATATTTAAAAGGGGCTAGTAAACCTACAATTTTATATTTGTAGAGTTCATCAAAACAAAATAAGAAACCAAAAGATCAAAGTGTTGATCTATCTACTACTGGTGCACGAGCTCCCATTGTTGGTGATGGTGTCTTACCGCACTTGGGGGAGAATTGCAAGTGTTTAGTGGATTTGTTGATAGGCTTTCCACTTGGTAAAGACTGTATTGAGTTCGAGCTGGATAAAACAATCTTCCATCATCAAAACACTCGTTCTATTTTTGTGATGATGAATGATATAACGGATTTGATGATGATGAATTGGCTTAATGTCTCAATCATACACGTGTTTATACTGTATGTTTTTTTTTTTTAATTATTACTGTATTTTATATATATGTTTACCTATATATGTAGTGAAATTTCTTATTCATTATTTCTTAATTTTCAAATTTCTTAATCAGTTGTGCAATCAGTATGAAGTTAGGTCAATCGAGTTTGTCTGTCCGACCCAGATTTCCCACACTATGCTTAAAAGCAGTTCCCGCAAAGTTACATCATATTTCGTCCACGTCATGGAGCATCACAAAGATAAAAACTTTATTTTAGCACCATATTCATTAAGAGTAAGAAAATTGTTCTTATATTTTATTAATATAACTTATAACTTTATATTTGGAGTATTAGATATTGAATTTTTAATATATATTTGTGTTTTTAAATGTAGCTCTCATTGGTTACTTTTGGTGATTTGCATACGGTCAAAAAACGTATGTATCTTGGATCCCTTGCCTTCTAATAATCGCGACATAGGTTTAATTAAAGGCTATGTGAATATGTAAGTAAATACTTTATTATTTATATAAGTATTTTAGCAGCTATGATATTATTTATAAATTTTTATGTATGCTTATAATTATTATAGGGCATTTCACTCTGTTCCTACGAGTGCACAGGTTAAGAACATCAATTGGAAGCCATGCAAAGTATGTATGAATATTGAATTTAAGTTTTAGTGTGATATTTTGAATTACAATAAGTTGTTTAAATTAGTAAAATAATATATGTATTTTGTAGTGCCCGAGACAACCGGGAGGTCATGAGTGTGGATATTATGTCATGCGATACATGTATGACATCATGACAAAATATCTATCTGTTGATAATTTGGATGGGGTAAGTGAATTTAAATAGAACTATATATAGTTAAGTTTTATTTTATTAATTAACATATTTAATAATTTTATTATTTAAATTTTTTGTAGGCATTTGAAAGCGATAGTCCGTATTCTATCCACAACATAAATGAGCTTCGAGAGCATTGGTCAAAGTTCTTCTTTTCTAAGTGCTTATAACTTTTATTTTATTGATAAAAAGTATTTTGTTTTGATGATAGTATTGAGTTGGGCATGTTTTGATGATATTATTGTATTAAAGTATGAGGATTTTAAGTGCTATTGTATTTTGATGATAGTATTTGCATTGTGTTAAAAGTAATGTGTTTAATTTGATGATAGTATTTGTATTGTGTGTTAAAAGTATTGTTTTAAAGTGTGTTGATAGATAAATTGTACTGTGGAGTAATGTTGATAGGATTTTACTAAGCTGTAACAGGTACAGGAATTATTAAAAAAATTAGGGATTTTAATTAAATAAATTAAATAATTTTTAAAAAAAAAAGTCATCCGCGACCATTCCTAGCATAAAACGGTCGCGAATGACTAATTATTAAAAAATTAAAAAGGAAAACGCTGTCATTTCTAGCTTAAAATGGTCGCATTTTACCTTTGAATTAAAAAATAATAATAAATAAATACAATACGTGATCGTTCTTGGTCAAGAATGGTCACGTATTACCGACAATGTGCGGCCATTTAGAAATGGTCGCGTAAAGTCCATGGCTTTCCGCGAGCCTCGCATAGGCGACCATTGTACAATAGTCGCGTAATGTCCTTTACAATGGTTGCGTATGTGCAGTTCTGTACTAGTGGCTTACAATAAAAAAATATGATGTCCGATTGTCAATTCGCAATCCTTCTTCATGATCGCTACGCATGTAACTTATTTCAAAGTTATCTTCTTCTAAAGGTAAAGACTGAACACCAATAGAAAATAGACGAGTTTCATCAAAATGATCATACTCTTCTTCATCCACAACATCACCAACACCAACAATAGATCTTTTACCATGTAAAACAATTAACCACTTATTATCAACATGATTAGATATATAAAACACTTGTTTTGCTTGAGATGCAAGTATGAATGGTTCATCTGTGACACCCCGGAAATTCACTCCTTAAACCCGAATTAATTTCTTAATTAATTCCTTGTGGCCATACAATTCTTTTATTAATTCCCAATTGAAATTAGTTAAGGCACTTAGTTTGAGCAAATCCCTTAGCATTTTAATTTGGTCAATGGGTAGACCTTATGCTTTATTCCTTGTACTCTAGACTTTGTCTTTCTCCTAACTTGTTTTTGGGAAGAAGTGGCCCTTTTGGTCTTTTCACCATTTCTAACCTTAAAACCCTACCCTAACCAAGACACCCCTACACATTTCAGGATTTCTCCATCTCTCTACACCCGTCTTTCTTGCTCTCCACTCTTCCTTCTCTCCAAGAAAACCCTAGAGTTCATCTTCACATTTCTTCAAGAGATCCAAGCCAAGACTCCAACTTTCTAACACTCCAAGGCTAGAGGTGGTAAGATCTATCTTCCTACACCTTTCCTATTCAAGGTTTCCTTCCTATTTCTCTAAAATCTCTCTTCTATCTTGTATGGTTTTGGGACTTTGATGAAGATCAAGTAGATGTTGAGAGGCTAGGTTGATCTAGAGATGCTTGTGGTGATTTGCCAAGTTAAGGAGGTAACCCATGCTCTACAAAACCTATTTTAATTTATACTTGTTATGATGATTCTTGATGTTGATGAGTGAAATGATGCATATTCTTGTGTTTATGCATGTTTAGAGCTTGTATCTAGGGTTCATAAATGCTATTCTTTGAGCTATTCTTGTGGATCAAGTTCCTTTGATCATTGATGTGAGATTTTGGGTGTTTTGGACTTGAACTTGGCAATGTTGATGTTTTTCCCCGAAGGGAATTATGATTTCTCGCAGGTTGTACCCGTGGGAGGAACATCGGGGGGCTGCCCACCCGCCGTTCCACCCAAGGGGAACGTGGTTTGTGACGGGGGGGGGGGGGGGGGGGGGGACCGCGGGTGGTTGTCCACCTGTTGTTCCACCCGCTGGTACACAGTGGGGGAACGGCAGGAGGTTGTCCACCCACTGGTACGTTGTATGTTGGCCTCCGTTTTGTTGAACCGTTGTGCACTTGTGTGTCTCAATTGATGTTTCGTAAGTCTAGAACGATGTCTTAAGTACCGAATTAGGACTTGTGAGTCTTGAATTGTGTTTATTATCCAACCTTGTGATTGGTTGGATTGATATGAAGTATATGTTGTTCGTATGAGCCTTATTGATTGTCTTGATTGAATTGCATGCTAGTTACGTTGATTTGTTGGTACTAGTATGTGTTTACCTCGTATTGATCATGCCTATTCTTGATGAGGATTGGTCACTTGTGTCTACCTATCATTGTGGTCTCTTGAGTTGAAGTCTTTCGTTATTGTGGAATATGTTGAAATGTCTCCTTCATGTTCTTTCTTGAATTCCTTCGATTGAATCTATGATTATGAGCTTGTACAAATGTTGTACCTTATCATGATTATTCCTTGATTAAGCTATTGTTGTGCTTATCCTTTATTGTGCACACTTCGTGTGGAATCTATGCTTTGTTGTATCTCTAGATTCCGTGTGTATCGACTCTTGATGAGATGTTGGATTGATATGGTGGAACAGTGGACAGTGTGGGGACTTATGTGATACTGATATGTGATTGGCAGGCCTCTGGCTCTGTTTGCAATGGGTCATGTTGGTGTGGGAAACCCTTGACAGGTCGGTGGTGGGTTTAAAGCCCCGATCAACCATTGTGAACTGATCCGGTAGTGAGTTTAAAGCTCCGGGTTGTCGTTTGGATACTTATGATTTGTGGGCAACTTGGGAAACTTATTCCAGTTGCTAGAGAAGGTAACTAACCCGTTGGGCTTGGAATCCCAATAGGGGGTGTATACACTTAAAGTTGCTAGATCTGCTTCCATTGGGCTGCGGTCCGATCGAGTCGTTGCGATGACTCTATGGTATGTGATTGATGATTTGGAGCCCTCCACACTAATCCACTATGATTCGGGTCGGTGCGATGACTCCGCGATGAATGACTGGGTTTGGCTATGTCCTGCGTGGACTTAGAACATCATCGGAAATAGTCATTGGTTGCGATCTATGACTTTCATTTGCTATGAGCATGTATTGATGTTATCCTTCATGTTATGATGTTACCTTGATTGATATTGATGATCATATGTTGTTGATGATTCCATTGTTCTTACCGTTGTATTGATCTCTTGATTTGTCGTATGATGGTTGGTTGATTGAGAGCGTTCCATGATGAGTCTTATGATGTTTCTATTCCTCGTTTTAAAAGGCGTTATATTATGTATTCCAAGTCTCAAATGGTTTTCTTATATCTATACTATATTGTACACAACGAGTAGTGGTGGATTACTTAGCATTATTCGCTAACGGGTGCTACCCCATATGTTTTTCAAGTGCAAGTAGTTGAGCCGAGAGCGCGATAGTGGAGCTCGGTAGACTAGCTTCCTTCTTATAGCTTATTAGTAGTTTGGCATGTGTGCCCTGGAACTTGTAGACTTGTGGTTAAGTAGTACTTTGTTAAGCCTGTGCATTTAGATAGAAGTTCTAGATGTGGCATAACACCCCTTGACTTTGTTAGCTTACGCTGGAATTCTGTATGTTAATGGATAGTTGTTATCTTAATTTCCTAAGTTAAACTGTTTACCGTTGTTAAGTTTTGGGGGTGTTACATCATCATAATAACCCACCCGTTCAAATTCAACCAAAGTACACTATAGTTTCATTACAACACAATTACATTATCATTTTGATATAACTACAGTTTCATTGCACAATATACGCTCAAAATATGTGAAATGTTATTCAGTTTCATTTAAACACAACTACAATATCATTTTGATATAACTACAGTTTCGCTAGACAATATACGCTCAAATATGTGAAATTGTTATTAAGTTTCAATTTGTATACACTGTAGTTTCATTTTAACACAACTACAGTTTCACTTCAATTCAATTGCAGTTGCATTTGATAATATAAAAATAATACGTGAGGCAGTGTCAGTTTAAATATACTGTAGTTTCATTTGGTAATTAACACATAAAAAATACGCGCTCCGTTAAGCTTTAATGGCTGCCCTTTTTTTAAGTATAGAAACAGCAGCGTTTTTTAACCATGGTTCACAAAGCTTTGTGGACCATGATCCACGATATAATTGCACCCTATTTTATTCCACCATCAACTAATTAAGTCCAACACTTATTAATAATATAATAACAATATCACTATACAATCCTAATGGCCCAAAATAATCATTAAACTTAATTCTTTTAATAATTAATACAAAATATAGAATAGAGTTTAAAATAAATATAATATTAAATAAATAAAACTAATTTATTATGAGAATTAATCTAAATTAAATATAAAAATAGTGGTGTTTATCAAAATCACACCAAGTTTTACCCAGTTGAAGAAACTGAGAATCCTATGGATGCAACAAGCCAATTTGATTGGCAAAAATCCAAAAAATATCAGTGCCGGCCATGGAAGCTCTAGACTACCTGGATTTAAATACAAATGACTTGAGTGGGAACATTCCTAATGACTTGTTTCTGCTCAAGAACTTGACCACAATTTTCTCCTACAACTCTACAAGAACAGGTTTTGAGGGCCTATTCCTCACCCTGTTATGGCCGTGAATTTGAAGGCAATTGATTTTTCTAATAACAGCCTGACATGGAGCATTCCAGAAGATTTTTCTAATAAAAGGCTGGCTTATAGGTAGACTCCTTTACTTGATGGCTACAAGCATATATGATATAACTTATTACTTATGCAGTGCAGTAGTTAAGTTAATTCATTGACAAACCAACTAACAGAAACCTAATAGCAGCACGTAGGGTGTTAAGGTATTTGAAGGGAGCTATTAGTCAAGGCATTTTGTTTTCAGCAGATGCTAGTATCTATCTACAAGCTTTCACTCATTCAGATTCTAATTAAAGGGTTTTCTTATCATTCATTCTAGAGTAAATACCTAAAATAGTCCCTCGACTATAGCTAAATTCATAAATTGGTCCTCGACTTTCAATTTCAATCAATTAAGTCCTTAACTTTGTAATTTTAACATAATTTGGTCCTCTGTCTATTTGACCATTTGTTGACTGTGATTTTTGAGGATATATATGTAATTTCATGGTCCATCGTCGATTTTTTAATGTTCTGGTTGCATTTCCAGACCGCACTGTTACATTTGAATCCACTGCCGAAAGCAATCTA